CTTGTGACAAAAAACAGCCTATAGAAAGCAGATCTCAGACAGAGCTTCCTCTTCTAATCTGACTTAGCTGAGCTCCCCATTGACACACTACAGGCCTTACACAACACTGCCCACTTGGGATTGGGTTTAGGAATATCGTGCAGCTGGTCTGGGGCTAAGTCTCCCCACTGGGATTCCCTACAAGCCAGTCTTCCAGTCAGCCTGCATGCTCTGCTCAGCCATGTTACTCCATCCTGTCTTTACCTCCTGAGTAAAAGGTAGCAATCCACAAGGGACTATTTTTGTTCTCCTTTCTTTCTAAAAGCTCTCTGGGCCCAAAACATTTATTGGGAAAATGGTGCTTGAATAAGTTGTAACTTGTCTTCTACCCATGGTGATGCCAAAGAGGCCCCAGTCTTTGACCCATGGCTATTGATTGGCCAGTCAGCTTCCCAGAGAGCAGCACAGTCCCTGCCACGGGGCACTGTTTTCAGGCTGCGTGCCCATGGGCAGGGGTTTTCCTGGGCTTTCACAAGGAAGCCAAATAGGTACAAATAGGAATGCAGAAAAAAGACCAAGAGAAAGAATTGCTTTGCCTTAAATTATTCCACTCTTGTGAGCTTAGGCTTGATCTAGTTTTTTTTTTTTTTTTTCTTGTTTGCTTAAAATTTGACTACATTCACAGCCTTGGTAAATTATTAAATATAGATCAGATAGATTTTGGAGTGATTGAATAAGAACTGCAGCCATTCTCCCATCATGTTGATAATGTTATACTATGTTTGTCTTTTTTAGATTTAAAAGGACAAATTTGTAAAAATTCAAAATTTCTACACTATTATAGAAAGATGTAAACTGACTTTCTTTTATGTGTCTACTTCTTTTCTGTGATAATTAGATATCAGTTAAAGTCCTGGGTGGTTTTATAGCAGATTACTGCGGTAGTAACCTTATTTGAAGTATTCCAGTAAAACCTTGGCCTCTTTTCCTATGTAGTAGAGATGTCACTGGACCTGTGCCTAGAGCTGGTAGTGGAGAAATTGTGCTTCAACGGGGCTAGAGTTCCATTAACTTGTTATGTTAAAAGAGGATATGCATTTCACTGGAGAAACATCAATCCCCGTTTTAATAGATTAAATTAAAAGAAAACTTCATTAAAAGAGTTTTGGTTTTGCCATTTGATGATAACTAAATTGAATTGTGAATTACTTATAATTATAGGGACAAGTAAAAATTAAGTGTCTGAAAGTTCATTGAGCCTCTAACATTAAAACCTGACAAATCTCAAATAAGGAAAGGAATTGTGTTTAAACAAAAAAAAGAAAGCTGGCTTGGCACCTGTGGCTCAAGTGGCTAAGGTGCCAGCCACATACACATAAGGTGGCGGGTTTGAATCCAGCCTAGGCCCCCCAAACAACAATGATGGCTGCATCCAAAAAAGATAGCCAGGCATTGTGGCGGGCACCTGTGGTCCCAGCTACTTGGGAGGCAGAGGCAGGAGACTCGCCTGAGCCCAGGAATTGGAGGTTGCTGTGAGCTGTGATGCCACAGTGCTCTATCCAGGGGGATAGCTTGAGGCTCTGTCTCAAAAAAATAAATAAATAAATAAGAAAGCTAAATCTGACCTTATTTTTAATATTGGTTCTTTTAACAGTGTATCAATAATTAAACATTACTTACATAAAATGATAACATTCTACCATGGTAAGACTTTAAACTGCTTTTGCATAATTTGTGATCCTGAGTTTTCCTTCCTTAAAAGTATTTCTTTTTTTTTCAGTCTAAAAATGAATTCTATCTTCTTCTCTATCTCCTCTCTCTATGCAGAGTTTAGATGCTGTCGAGCAGGAGAAAAAACTAAAGTTCTCCACAATCCTTTCAAGTTTTCAGTTTTAAGTGTATCTTTTATATTTTAACTTAAAATAATACAAATGGGAATAAATTAGAAATGAATCAAGAGGAAAACATGTGTGATATCCTTAGCTGTAGAAGCACCAACATCTAATAGGATTTTTTTTTTCTTTTTTTTGGCGGTTTTTGGCCGGGGCTGGGTTTGAACCCACCACCTCTAGCATATGGGGCCGGTGCCTACTCCTTGAGCCTCAGGCACCGCCCTAATAGGATTTTTTTATGAATTGTGATTTCATAACAAGTGATTTTAAGTCACTTCTGGTCCAAGAGGAGGAAAGAAATACACCTGAGTTTACGTTTCTTAATTTTTGTACAGATTTTAGGAGATGTTAATGAAACTCAGGGTTTCAAATATGGGTATAATTACATTATAAAAGGTAAACCTATGAAGGAGAAGCCAGGGTAATTTAATTAACTGTTTGATGCCACACTAACCCTTCTTCTTACTATTTTCCTCAATATAATTAAGTTGAGCATGGAAAACACTTTAGATCTTCAAGTTGTTTATTTCGATCTATTTTCTTATTTTCTTAAAGCCCTCAATGTTTGCTGTATTTTCTTAATTTCTGTCTCTAAATGGTTTCAGGCCCTGGGACTCTAGGAGGTAGACCTGTGAAGTCATCTGTAAAAATGAACCAAGAACATGCTGATAAGGGATTTAAGCTGTGTTCCCAGCATTGTTGATGGATAGACACTTGTCCTTGGCCTTTTGCTCTGGTGCCCTTGGGATCAACCATTAGGACACTGATACTGGGTGACTAATTGGGCTACAAAGATAGCGAGAAATGAACTGGCAAAGCAGAAACTGAATGTGCGTTCTTGTCCTAGTTAGCAGCCTGATGTGGCCAACAAGTTAGGAGTGAGCAGAGAGGGATACATAAGATCACCTGGTGAATCCTCTCTGGGATCTGACTCTCACTGTATTATTTTTCTAGAGTAAAGAACCAATAAATAAAAATCAAGTTTAGAGTTCATACCTTTATCTGGCCTGAACAAAAAAGAAACAAAACAAAATAAGACTACCTAGAGGCATAAAAGTTTCAATCAATTCAAGAGCTAATGTCTACCTGGCATGTAAAACACACCAGCCTTTTATCAGACGCTGTATAGCAAGACTAGTAAAACAAATCTAGCCTTTGACATGCTTAAAAGCTGGCAGGTAAGACCAACACATAGAGTAATAAATAGATTGCACAGAATATAAATATTAACTTAAACTATTATAATAAATAGTAGTTGGAACAGAATGGTGTCTGAGCATAAGGAATAAACCATTTATTTTGCCAAACAGGATCCATAAAAGTAATATTGAACTGGGCCTTGAAGCCCAGTTTTTTTCTGGCAGATAAGTGAAGGCTTTGGGGTATGCAGTCTTGGTAGAGGGCATAAGCAAAGTTAAGGGCTTTGAAAACAGAGATGTTTGGCTTATCCCCAGTAATCCAGTGTGGCTGAAAGGTAGAGCAGGTGTGGAAAAGAAGAGGCTGAGATGAAACTTCAGTGGGGCCAGATGGTAACAGTCCCTGATGGCTGTGAGTGCCAAGGGAGGCTAAGGAATTTGTGTTCATCTATAGGCACAGGCAGAGGTAAGCCATCCTTCCCTGTTTTTATATAGGGAAGACACTAGATCAGATGTGTAGTTTAAGGGAGCTAAAATGTAGGTAACTACCCTGGTAGGTATGTACAGAGAAAGACTCACAGGAGGCAGGCCTTTGGGAAAGCCCCAGTGGAAGACGACAGTAGGGTGCCCTGGTTGGGTACATCACGGGCTCACCGAGTATTCCTTCGGGAAGTGAGAAAGCAGATGAGTGGGGATTAAAAGAATTTAAAAGGATTAAAAGATTTCAGATTAAAAGGATTATAAGTGGCTAAATAGCATAACCTTAGATTATGAGTATTACAGTATAAAGATTGCAGTATCTCTTCTGGATGCTGTTAAAAATAAGCTAAGTGCAAATTTCTAGTATGCAACACTTTATTGTAATATTAACCGAACTTAATAAAACTATGCTATACATTGAAATTATTCATCTTATAATGAAAAATGTGTACATTTCTGACCAGTATCTCCCCAAGATCTCCCTCAGTCTTTGGCAACCAATATTGCACACTGTCTCTTTGAAGTACAACGTTTTTAGGGTCCACATACAAGTGAGATTATGCAGTATTTACCTTTCTATGTCTAGCTTACTTCACTTAGCAAAATACCCTCCAGGTTTATATCTGTATTGTTGCAAATGGCAGGATTTCCTTCTTTTAAGGCTAATACTCCATTATATATATGTATGTGTACACGCACCACAATTTCTTTATCCAATCATCTGTCGATGACTGTTTAGATTGTTATCTTGGCTATTGTGAATAATGCCGCAAGGAATGTGGAAGAGCAGACACCTGCTAGAAAAACTGATTTCAGGTGGCGCCGGTAGGTCAGTGGGTAGGGCGCCGGCTGCATCCACCCAGGCTGGTGGGTTCAAACCCGGCCCGGGCCAGCTAAACAACAATGCCAACTGCAACAAAAAAATAGCCAGGCATTTCTGTGGGCGCCTGTAGCCCCAGCTACTTGGGAAACTAAGGCAAGAGAATCACTTAAGCCCAAGAGTCTAAGGTTGCTGTGAGCAGTGATGCCACAGCACTCTACCGAGGGTAACAAAGTGAAACTCTGTCTCTAAAAAAAAGAAAGAAAAGAAATATTGGTATCGTTTCAATAAAGATATAAACAAAATTAAGATAATAATAAACGGTTTATAGAAGAAATTCAAGAAAAAGCTGAGAGCATCAGTAGAAACCACTGCAACAACAACAAAAAAAACCAACAGCCGCTAAATGCTCTTCTGTTAGAATTATTTTCATATGGTTCTGCCTTAAACATCTCCCATAATTACTCTGAGACTAAATTTCTCAGTTCCATGATTCCCAAATTTTAGAGAAAATTAATGTTTTGCCTGGGTTCTTTACTACTGATGTTTTATACACATGAACATATTTACCGTCTCTGTTGACTGATCATAGTCCTTTAAGAAGAAAATCTCAGAAAACTAAAATCAATTACATTCACAAAAGGATTCTTGGCGATTCAATAATTGGTTTTCCTCTCTGCTGTATCCCTGTGCTTAGCACAGAGAGACACCAAATATACATGGTGTTGGTGAGTTATATTTCAGAGGTCAAGAGCATTATTTAACTTCTTTAATATATTTCTGTTTTTTTTTGATCCTAAGAAATGCTATCTAATTACACCTATTTCAGCAGAAGTCTTTAGCTTCTAAATTATGTAATTTATTTTAGAATTTAACTTTATAGTCTGAGTAAACCCATTTGATGCTTTCTGATATACTATCCCAGTACATTTTCTCTGGGATAATAAATAGATCTTATTTTTTTAACTGTTCAAGTTAGTGTTATCTATAAATGTGTTAGTATCTGTAAATCACATTTACTTTAAGCTGCTGAGATAGGGCTAATAGAATTGTCAGCCTCAAATAGTCAGATAACATTCTTAAACGACTTTAGATGTTGTCTCAACTTAGTAGCAAGCATATGGCATCATCTAGTATCCATAATTTGGATTTTTAAGAAGCCATTTAGGTTGCACTATAGTTTTGCATAAAATCCTATATAACAGACACTTAACAGGTAAGATGGCCTTGCTCTCTGTGGTGTTAAATGAAAGAGTTCTCCTTTCATTTCTTCTTTCTTAACTTCTGATACAGCATATCTGGCACTTCCTCTTCCAACTCCCCTTCCAGAACATTCGAACCAACCAACATTCTCTAAGGCAGGTGGTCTTCACCTAGGTCCCTGAGCTCCCTGAAGTCAGATTTTCAATGAAGTTCATGTCTCAAAACAGATATCCAAGGCCACTATTCTAAGGAGCATTGTTTCTCATCCCAACACCAGTTCTTTAAAGACCTGCACTGAGATGACCAATAGAATCGAGAAGTAGCCACACAGTGCTGTATTTTACCTTGAAGTCTCTGAGTCTCTGATATTCCCCAATGTCTTCTGCCCGGGGATTGTCCAAGCAATCCACTCTCCAGCATACATCAGTACACGAAGGCCGTGATGTGTCCTGGTACAATAGTTTGCCCTGTTCAGACCCCATGTGATAGAACTCATACATTTTAATATTCTACATCATGATTTCTGATTACTAATTAATTTCCTAAGAATATAATTTAATAAATGAAAATTCTTTCTGTCATGAAAGGAAAGTGTGAGTTAACCCTAAATTCTAACAGTAAGTTCTAATTTAATTTTCTCTTCACAATTTCAGAGTATTTCAACGTATGTTGTATTTGTGTGTCTGATGCTGCAACTTGATTGTTTGTTTTATTCTTCTATTGTATGTTTAGTTCAAGCAGTAAATCCCAGGATCAGCAATCTTACAGCCGCAGCTGCTGAGACCTATGCCAATATCAGTTGGAAGTATGAGGGACCTGAGCATGTGAACTTTTATGTTGAATATGGTGTAGCAGGCAGTAAGAAATAATTTCATTACCCAATTTTTAATTGGGGGGATACATTTCAAGAGGTTATGAACATTTTTAAGAACTTAT